TTCACAGATTTGATTTAAGATTTTCACAACCTGAATCACAACAAGTAACCCAAGATCAACTAAGAAGAAGAAGAAGAAGAAGAATAATAATAATAATAATAATAATAATAATAATAATAATATAATAATAATAATAATAATAATAATAATATAAGAAGAAGAGGAAGAAGAAGAAGAAGAAGAAGAAGAAGAAGAAGAAGAAGAAGAAGAAGAAGAAGAAGAAGAAGAAGAAGAAGAAGAAGAAGAAGAAGAAGAAGAGGAGGAGGAGGAGGAGGAGGAAGAGGAGGAGGAGGAGGAGGAGGAGGAGGAGAAGGAGGAGAAGGAGAAGAAGAAGAAAAAATCTCGAAGTATAGGATATTCAAGAGAGAAAGAGTTCATAGACTAGAGTCTATCTCTCTAGAATTTTCTCTTTCTAAGATTTTGAGAACTTGAAATTATGATACTTTATTTGAACATAAACCATACAAACCTCACCCCTTAGAGTCAAGCTGAACCTTTGTCCTAAGAAACTCTTAAAACTACTTAAATTCACTAGAATTCCTCGAATCTCAAAGTCACTCAACACAAAACATAACAATAACACTTAAACAGATAAAAACATCAACTCTAAAATTACAGTACAATAATATTTTTAGACAAATTTATTAATTATTTTCTTGAGGATATATAGAATATTTTAAAAAGGATTTTTTTAAAATATATTAAAAATTAAAACAATATGTTTTATTAACACAAATACTAATAATATTTATCAATATTTTTTATTCTTAAATTTAATTATTTATCACATTTAATATGTAAATATTTTTGTATTATTGAAATTTTCCTTTCAATTGAGGAGGATTTTGACCTCTCCCTTTAAGGATGGATGAGAATAGGCCAATGTCAAACATGAGTCTATCGATCTATTCAAAGTTTGACCTAATTAATAAAAATATCAAATTTAGACTTTTAAAAAAACTTATTTATTTAAAAGATTAGGCTTAGGTTTATAAAAAGTCTATAAAGCTTGACATGTCAACATATTTATCTATATAATATAATAAAAAATATTATACATATTACATTATTAATAATATAATTAAGTAAAATATTTTATTAATGTTGTTTGTACTTTAACTAACTTCATTAAACTTTTTTACATTCTCTATTCATACGAAATCAAGGAATAGAAAATAGAAAGCATATTTGTTAACTCTTTTCCTTCATCTTCATGATTGTTTATTTATAATATTTTATACGAAATATTTAAAATATTTAGAATTTTTATTTATTTTTTTTGAAGAAAAGATAGACACTAGAAGAGGGTTGAATAATATATATATAAAATTTGCACATTTTCAAGTACGTGAAGTAGTATATGCAATAATGTATATCAATAAACACTGTGTTTTTATACTGATTCACCTCAACCACTAGAGCTACATTCAGTTCTTAATCCAACCAAATTGAGTTTTAGTAACTTTCAACAAAGTTACAAGTATTCTTTTACCAAGCTACTTGAAAGAGATAACCGTTGCAGCTTCTTGAATTAGATTCATATAATTATTTCGTCTTACTCCTTCGTCTGATCTTTAGAGAGAAAATATTCGTTAGTAAATTAAATGCTTCAATCAATGTCTTTCACATAATAATACTCCTTATCCTTGATAGATCAAACTACTTATTAGAACAGATTAGAAAAACGGGAACAATAGGAAGCAAAGTCAACGTGCAAATGAGAATGCATTCCTTTTTCAGTGTCTTTTTTTGTGAAATCTGGGATCTTTATCCTATGTTTTGCTACTCTTCGTGCTTTTATACACTTTTAATAGAATGTGAGTTATGACAACAACTTTCGATCTATTAAGGTTTAAAACATTCATTTGAACATTTAAACTTGTCAATCACAATAAATAATGATCATTGGGAACATTTTGTATACTTCATTTGATTGGCTTCGTTTTACAGACACTACTTCGTCTTACACAATATGAAATGATGACTTTTACAACGAGTTTACTAAAAGATGTAGTATTTGTTATCATCAAAACTTATAAAACGTGTGAGGGATCTAAAATCGTCTTTTGACTTAACAATTTTTTTATATAAAATTATCTTTTTTCATTACACTTGTATGTAAGTGTACATTAGTGTAGTCAGGTTGAGCTATATTTGGATGAATTCGTTATCTAACCTGATATAAAAACAGTGGGATGAGTTGGATCACATTTATGCAATTTTTTAAAATCCAACCCAATCCAACCTAATTGCGAACGAGTTGGGTTATATTTGATTAATCAGATTAATATAATTAAATTTATTTATTTTTTTATAAAATTTAAACATTTCAAAATAGATGTAAAACATTTGATATATTGCTACAAATGCAATTTAATTAACCATAAAGTAAATAATGAAACAAATTTAATTCAAAAATAATTTTTTTAATTTGATACATTGTTATCAACTCAAACAATTAATATTAATACAAAATAAAATTTAAAATAAATATGTTATATTTTTACAATGCTATCTATCCAAAAAGCACAAAACTTATTACTGAACAAGATTGATAATGAATATTGTCTTGAACAAGTAACGATCTGAACAATAACTTATTATTGTTATTATTATTATTATTATTATTATCATTATTATTATTATTATTATTATTATTATTATTGTATGAGTGGGTTGGGTTAAGTCATAAGTTAAAATCACAAAATTTGTTATCCAACCTGTATAGTGTCAAGTTTTGATTGGGATTGAGTTGGGTTTAACCCAAATACATAAAAGTTGGATATGAATTTTTTGGGTCAGTTTAAATTCGTGAATTACCTATACCTACTTATTCTCGTACGTGTGTGCACGAATTAGAAAAATACTCACACAGATATCTAAAAATAGATTCATTGACTTATTTAAAGTTAAATTTCTTGATTTATTTAATATTATTAATATAAAATAAAATTTTAAATATATTAATAGACCAAACTAAACTTATACAAAGATAAAAACCTAGAAAAAAAACCTATAATAAATAATAGGTTAAATTTATACTTTAATTTTATAAAATAAATATAGCGTATATATTTAAAACTCGATCTAACATACATTATTCTCATCCCTATTCCTTGTAAAAACAATTTTGAGAAAAATGTGAGTCAAAAGAATTATTAAGAAATCACTTTCCTAGATTTTTTTAAAATATTATTTTATAAACATAAAAAACTAACATTTTTATTTATAGAATATTATGGAATATTATAGTATTTTTTATTATATCTTTAAAATATTCTTTCCGGTTTGAGAAGGTTTCCATTCCTTGTAGGAATTATTTTGTGATACATGTGTCAAGAAAATTACGAGAAAATAATGTTTTGTATATTTTTTTAATCGCTACCAAATACACCTAGTTTCATATTCTTAGAAAATATTTTTTTAATGTATTAAATGCCTCCTAAAAATTATATCTAATTATATTTAAAATTATTTCTAGTTAATTAATAGTATAAAAACTCTTATAATTATCGTACATAGCAATTAAAGTTTATCTTTGTTCCCTTTTTAATAAATATTAAAGAATTTAATTGAATATATTAACAGTGTAAAATACATTTTTATCTAATCATAAATTATCTTATAGTTAAAATTGTTGATTTACTTAAATGTCATTTAAGATGCTTTAACAATATAAAAAATAATAATTTTTAAACATCAACTATTTTAGTATTAATGATAACTAGATATGCAATACAAAATTATTTTAAATATATTTATTTTTTAAAGATAACACATATCCTATAGTAAGGACAATCTTACTTAATTAAGTACTTACAATAATACTTAATTCTTTTATTTTTTTCCTATTTAATAACATCAACAGAAATAATTAATATTTAGGATCTTGTTAAAATTTTCAATTCATTTTATTTTTAATAAATATTAAAGAATTTATTTGCAATACATTTATAGAATTTACATCATAACCTAATTCTGAATTCCCATTAAATTACAAGAAATTGACATTGATGTATAATCAATAATAAGTTTTCATTTTATTAACTAATTAGAAATCATTTTGGATATAATTTTTAAAATAATTATTATAAAAATCAACAAATATACCATATTTCACAAGTTATAATTGGAATTCTTTCGGTCAAATTTTTTTTGGAATTATGAATATATACCAATTAAATTCTAAAAAAAAATTATTAACTTTTACTTTATAATTATATTTAAAGTAATTTCCAATTATTTGAAAGTGTAGATTTTTTTTATAAAAAAAAACATCTTACTTAATAGCATTTATACCAGATATACACTATACAAGAGCATCTACAAATAAATGTTAAATACTTTATTTATATATTTATTATTTTTTTACCTCTATTCTTTAATAATACCACGTCAATCTACATAAATACTTGACGTTTCAATACATGCACCATTTCCTAGTTCCAACTTACAACTCAGGATTTCTGTCAAAAAAAAAAAAAATTACAACTCAGGATTCTTCAAAAAAAAAAAATAATAAAAAATAAAAGAATCCATCCCTAACTGAGGACCATTTTTTTCTGTTTTTCCGTTTCAATTGAATGCTTGCTTAATTTATTTATATCAATATAACGCATTATTAATTGAATAAAATACTTTTCTTTACCCTCAAGTACACTTAAAATGCATAGTAGGGTCCATCACCTACTTGGAGGTGACTACTCGTGCCACGTGCCCTTCATTCCTAGGGCGGCAGCGCCCACACGGTGCACCCTCCCGTACTAGACCACGCACTTTCCAACTCCTCATCCTTCAATATAAGGTGTTGTCAAGAGAGCGAGAAACACAGTGCGAACAGAACCACGTTCTCAAAAGCGCGCCTGCGTGCCACGTGTGACACCATGCATGCCGTGCCAGCATGGACCAATGAGAAAGAAGGTTACAGAGTGAACATAAAACAGAGAATACTTGTTCGCCGTTTCCGGTTTTATGTGTGTGTAAGTGATCAAACTCAACACAACAGTGAAAAAGAAAGAACTGAAGTGAGTGTTTGTTTTCCCATGAAGAGTGAAGCGAGATGACAGAACCAGAATTGTGTTCCTTCGTTTAACGTAGTGGATTGTTGCCGTTCCCTTTCTCTACGTCGTTTTGGATCGTTCATGAGGCTTCTTGCCAAAGCGTGTACGTGCCATTCTCAATTGTCATGTCTCTGAATCCGTCTCCAATGGATGTTGACAGTTTCAAGTGTTGTGGAAACAAAAAGTACAGAAGAGGGTCGAGGAAAAGAAAGCTTCTTGTCAATGAGAGAGTCGAGGTAATGCTATCTAATTTATTTATTTATTTTTTACGTTTTTTTTATAAAGATGTAATCTTTTTAGTTTTTGAATTTCTGATTTTTTGTTTTGTGATGGATTACACTTTTGTTGTATTCCTGATTTGTCAGTGATCTAGCTTTTATGTTTTGATGGGTTTTTCTGTTTTCCTGTGTTTGTGTCTGGGTTTATGTTTACATTTATGATCCTTTGATGTTCTGTGGTCAATTCATGGTTTTGATAATTTTTCAAGATTTTACCCTCTCCAATTGTTGGTTTCTGCACTGAATCTCCTTTCGCGGTTTGTTTTGCATTCTCATGAGCCCTTCATGCAAATGATGAAAATTGAAATGTGGCACAGTTTATGATGTTACCACGTGGAGTCAATGTTATTTGCAGGCCTGATATTTTTTTCCCTGGTTGTCATTTGTGTGTGCGCTTTTCAATTATCACTCTGTGATAAACGTGAAAACGGTGACCTCTTCATCTGGAATTTCCAGTTCAAGAGATTAACTTTTCCTTCTGTTTTTTTTTTTTTTAAATTTTTATTTTCAGGTGAAGAGTGTGGAAGAGGGTTTTCTGGGTTCATGGCACCCGGGGACGGTGATCCGTTGTGAGAAGCAGAAGCGTCATGTCAAGTATGACAACATTCTGGATGATGATGGATTAGAATATCTTGTGGATGTGGTGTTTGTTTCACCTGTTTTGGACGGTGTTTGTTCTTCTTCGGATTCTGGCAATGAACGTGGATACATTAGACCACTGCCTCCTCCTCTTGAGTTTGGGGAGAAGGACCTTCAATTTGGTCGCTGTGTTGATGTGAATTATCAAGAAGCCTGGTGGGAAGGTGTTATATTTGATCACTGCAATGGAATGGATGGGAGGAGCGTGTTCTTCCCGGATTTGGGTGATGAGATGAAGGTTGGAACTCATCAATTGCGGATAACTCAGGATTGGGATGAAGACACCGAGAATTGGCAGCCGCGAGGGAAGTGGGTGTTCCTTGAATTGATTGAGGAGTGCGAGAGAGAGTCCTTTATTGCAGTTTCAGTGAAGCAAATATGGTATGATGTAAGGGCTAGACAGGATTTTGACAACATAAAGCACTGGGCTTATAATGTTAAGGACTTGTGGAGAGACCTTGTACTGGAGGTGGTTGGTGATTACTATGCTCTCACACTAGAAGAAGTTTTCCCTGCCTTAAACCTTCCGGAGGATTTCTTGAAAGAAACACCAGAACTGAAGTCAGTTGAACCTACTGACAACATTCATTGTGATGCTGGACATAGCAATGTATTTGGTTCTGGCATTGGAGTGTCTAATAGCCCTATGGAAAATGGTGATGCTTCAAACTTGTTGGATAGTGATGAAAAGTGTGGTGGAATCATTCCCCTTCAAGAGGGATGTGATAAAGATCCTTCGGTGGATAGGGCATCTGAGAAAGGAATTATTTTGAAGGAAGATCCTGTATCTCCAGTTCAAGAGATCTTTCCTGACGATGGTGAAGTAACTCCAGATGCTAGCTGTAGTGGAAAGAAGAGAAAACGTAGAAGCTCATCATCCATATGTTGGAAACCTCTGATACTGACTAAGGTTGAATTCTGTCCTGATGTTATTAATCAATATATAATAGGATATGGGAGCAAGACTATAAGGGAACTTTTGAAGACAAAAGTATGGAAACATCTTGGATATCTTGGATGGACAATTGAGTGGGCTGAAAATAAATACATACGTGGGCGAGGAGGACGGTACAGGTACAAGTCACCTGATGCACAGGACAAGAAGGTTTACACCTCAATTATTCAAGTTTTGACACACATGCAAATGGGATCCAGCATGAACTCTGTGCAGGCCCAAATTGATCACAATAGGATGCATTCTACAAATGACACTAATCCTTCAACTCTGCTTTCAGATCAACCCCAAAATGACCAAGATATTCTTGTTTGTCCTTCAAATGGGGAACCTTCTCATATTGAAGTCGTAGATGAACCGGAATTTTGTCCTCAAGCTGTTGTGAAATATTACTTGAATTCATCAGAGAAACGTTGGGTTGATAAAACAAAATGGAAACTGAAAGCAAAGAAACATTTGTTAGCGGAAGGATGGACCTTTGACTACCCAACTAAGAAAAGAAAGACAACTTTGTACAACTCTCCGCAGGATCAGTGTTTGGGCACACTTCGTGGTGCATGCAGACTATACATTAAAGAAAAGATTCCTGAATGGACTAATTCTGGCATGATATCTTTGAATGCCCCAACCATGAAAGAGGAAAGTGTTGGTGATGTTGGTAGCGATGATCTATTCCAAAATTTGTCCCAATTGCTTCAAAAAGAGCCAGAATTGCTTACTGCTTCACCAGTAAGTAGATCAACTGAGAATAGAAACCATAAACGGACCAGGAATGCAAAAGCCAGCATGCCAAAGCGCCGCAGAAAAGGATTTCCTACACTGGTCCTAAGATCAAGCAAAAGGGTGCAGAAGGTGTCTGTCCCTAGTCCGTCACACCAAAGACCTCAAAATGTTCTGTCTTGGTTAATAGATAACAACATGGTGACACCAAGATGTAAGGTCTATTGCGGAGCAGGAGTTGAGAACCCTGTTGTAGTTGAAGGGAGAATAACTTATGATGGAATCAAGTGTAGCTGTTGTAAGAAAATATACGGTCTTGCTGGCTTTTTAAATCATGCTGGTGGCAGTAGTGGCTGCAGGCCTTCTGCAAGTATCTTTTTGAAGGATGGTAGGTCACTCTTAGATTGCATGATACAAGTAATGCATGATCATAGAACAAGGGAAGATATAAAGAGACCATGCGTTGATCTGTGTGAGGGCGAAAATGACAACATTTGTTCTGTCTGTCAATATGGTGGTGAACTTATTTTATGTGACCAATGTCCATCTGCATTTCATAGGACGTGTCTTGGATTGGAGGTATGATAACTGTTTCCCTTCTCAATTATGCCATATTAACTGCTATCTTCTTGTTCTATTTCCTTTACTATGTCCCCCACATGATTACTTCAATTCAATACTTTCGTATAAAAATAACTGGTCTTGCATGTGGGTTCTATCATTGAGCTGGTTTCCCACTGCATGTGTAGGATATCCCTGATGGTGACTGGTTTTGTCCATCATGTCGTTGTGGGATTTGCGGCCAAATCAAAATGGAAGGGACTGAGGATGTACTTTTTCTTACTTGCATTCAATGTGAACATAAATGTAAGCTGGTTTTCATATTTACTTCAATAAATGTTTTTGTGGATGACTGCACATGTTCATCAATATTATAATGATTTTGCTATATTGTCAACCTTATGCAGATCACGTTGGATGCCTGAAAAATAGAGAAAAAGATGAGTCCAGAAGATATATGGAAAATTGGCTGTGTGGAAAAGAGTGTGAACAGGTACATCAAATCCACCTGCCTTTTCTCTTCTATAATTAGGAAAGTTTTAATCATAGTTTGCATGTAGAACTAATAAATCTACTATATCTCATATCATGCTTTCTTTTCGTTCCTTTCCTTTCTTTTTCTTCTATTTATTGTGATTTTACATTCCTTGAAAGCTTTACTTTACATATTTTTTTATCAAAACAAAATAAAGTGTTGTCAATTACTTCCCCATATTGTAATTCTAGTTTATCAACATGAGATTTTATAGAATTAACACTTTCTAGTCCGGGAGTGAGTTCTTTATTCAGCTCACGTGCACTTTCGTTTATGGGTTTCATTTAATAGCTAATTAGACAGTGAACAATGGAAGATTGTGGTGTTGGATGTGTTAAACATATTTTTTTATCAAAACAAAATAAAGTGTTGTCAATTACTTCCCCATATTGTAATTCTAGTTTATCAACATGAGATTTTATAGAATTAACACTTTCTAGTCCGGGAGTGAGTTCTTTATTCAGCTCACGTGCACTTTCGTTTATGGGTTTCATTTAATAGCTAATTAGACAGTGAACAATGGAAGATTGTGGTGTTGGATGTGTTAAGATATGGCAAGAACACATTTAAATTTAAAACATTTAAGGTTGTGTGTCTTTGTTATATACTGCTAGAAACATTTACTTGTGTATATTTTTTGCAGATATATGCAGGCCTTCAAAGTCTATTAGGAAAGCCATTTGTAGTGGGTGTGAACAATCTAACTTGGACTCTGGTGAAGTTTATCGACTCTGAGAGTTGCAGTGGTGGTAATATTAAGAATGACTTATTGGCAGAGAAATACAGCAAATTCAGTGTTGCACTTTCTGTGATGCATGAGTGTTTTGAGCCCCTAAAGAACCCTTTCTCTAGTAGAGATATCATTGATGATGTTATATTCAACACTAGGTCTGAAATTCTTATCCTTCAATTCTTGTTCGCAATATTTAAAAGAATTCTTTACATAGTGTTCGTTTCATTCTCATAATTCCTGCTTATAGCATGCTGAGTTAAATCTGTAAATCTTTGGCTTGGATCTCAATGATCATATTTCTATGTTAGCTGGTCACTTATTTAAAGAGTAAATAGCAGTGGCTTATTTAGGTCAGCATAATTTTATCTTTTTTTTTTTTAAATGATATTCCAATGGGGTCTGACCGGATAGAGTTCTGGTTATATACTTTGTGCTTAACCTAAAATTAATTGCCATTACATATATGTATTTCACAGTTAATTGACAAGAAATTTTTTAGTCTTTACACTTATCCATTACACCATATTTATGATCAGGTAACACAACTAAGAGTAATCAATTTTATGTTCTTATGCTCCCCTCCCCAACTTTTATACACAGTCCATATTTACCTTTAATGATGTATCGTAGATTGTCTGATAACAAAAATCTTTATATGCATTAGATAGATATTACAATTTAGTGTCTTTCTCTCGTGTGCATATATGATTTGTGGATATAGATTTATCATGCAGGATTGAATTGCTGGAACTATAGGAACAAATTATGTGAATAGATCATTAGAACAGTTTCCTTATATTCCTATACATATTTATATGGACCATAATTTGCAACTGAAACTTTCAGATTTGCTTGTCTACATGATTTAAATGATTCTTCTGTTCTTGGTTATCGTGGAACTCCGCCCATGGATGACATCGTGATTAGTGAACTAATGTTTGAAGACTAAAGCGAGGATTTTGGTTCTCTTTGAATCTCATGTTACAATATTGGTTATTCGATTCAAACATGATTCTATTGGATTCAATATGTGGGGCTTTCATTCTTCTCATTTATTTTTAAAGTCAAGTAATTTTCTTTCATAAGGACGGGGAAAGTGTTATTGGGTAATTTTGGTAGGTGATTCATGGTTCTAATGGTTAGTTGTTTCATTTAAAATGAGCAGATCATGTGCATTATTGTGTCTCTTGTAATTCATACCATTTACTAATGGAATTTTTCTCAAGTGTACATTTTCTATGTTCATGATTTGTTATATCCTCTGGGCCAATACCTGATATCTATACTTTGGAAATTTGTAGGTCAGAACTTAATCGATTGAGTTTCCAGGGTTTCTATACCATACTTCTGGAGAGAAATGAAGAATTGATTAGTGTCGCAACTATTAGGTGAGTATAGGATTGCTACTACTAAGTATCAAGCATTAGGTTTTGCATGAAATGTGATTTCATTTCCTGTATGAGTTGCAACGTTTTATATATCTGGTCATTTCATTTCCTGTTTGACTTGCCAATTCATTTTTATAGGGTATTTGGACATAAAGTAGCAGAGGTACCTCTTGTAGGTACCAGATTACAATATCGTCGACTTGGAATGTGTCGGATTTTAATGAATGAGCTTGAGAAGGTAACATAAAATGCATGCACATTTGCTTATTTCTTCTATAAAAAGAATCTAAACTGCATTGTTTTCTGAAGGCACTTAAGAAAACCTATCACCAATTTGTATCTAATTTCTCATTCTATGACTAGAGGATTCATATATAAAGCATATATATTTTATAAAGGATGGTAGGACATAAGAAGAGGAAGAATTTACCTTTGTATCTAAAGAACACTCTTCAATCTTGCCACCCTATATGCTTTTATCCTTTTTCTCCAACCACCAAGGATGTTACAATTCTCCTCAATCTTACCATTCTTTTAGTTCATTCTTAATGTATTAGCATGAGATTTTATAAAACATAACTAAAAGATATTAGCATGATCCTGTTTTATGCAAATCATACACTCTCTCTCTCAACTTCTTTTCTATGAAGAATCTGTCTCTATCGAAATTCGGAAGAACGGTTATAAAATGTTCAATTAAATAACTACAATGTCGGATTTTACTTAAAAGTCCTAGAGTTCCAATTATTTTCTCAAGTTAATGATCATTTTTTCACTTGAATTTTTCTTTCATCAGAAGCTCATGCAGCTGGGAGTGGAGAGACTAGTCTTGCCTGCTGTTCCCGGTGTGCTAGAAACATGGACAAATTCTTTTGGCTTTGCAGAGATGACAAATTTTGAGAGGTCACAGTTCTTGGATTATGCTTTCCTAGATTTTCAGGAAACCGTCATGTGCCAGAAGTTCCTGACAAGGATTCCGTCTCCCGAGTCAGGTTTAACAAGAGGTTTGCAACTGATAGATTTTGTTGATTCTGGTTTTTGCTCAAGGAGATAACATTTTACTGAAAAATTAAATTAGAACTTTGATGTTTCATGTTGCAGACACACATTCCAAACCACCAGAAGTTCTCACTCTTAAATGTAGAATTGAGTTTGACAAGTCAAGTTCAGCATCTGAAGTGGACCAAGCTGAAGAGATTGACAAAAGTGGGATGAATCTGCAAGTGATGGAGTATGCTTCACCTTTGCCTAATTCCTAACCCAATCTGATATTTTGAGACAGATAGAATCTAATGACAAGTTGACATTGTGGAGTATTGATCTGGGAAAGGAAACAAGACTAAATAAAATTGAGAAACAAACTCAAATTTCGAATTTTGTTTTTTTATTTGTTATCATAAGTTAGAAGTGTAGAGTACAGTGTAAAATTATGATGTTAAAATATAAGTGCTGTTTTTAAGATAGTGTCTTTGTTAAAACTCTTGTGAGTAGATTTGTTTACTTTTTAAGGATGTCTATTACTATTTTTCTTCTTTTGGGCTTGTTTAAGAGGATGACGTATCCTTGAATTAACGCATGTCTAGATAGAATTCTTTTGGTGAAATCCCACTATTTTCTAGCAAAACTTTTGTTTTCTCATTTTGTTCCCGCTAATTGAGTGTTGTTGCTATAAATAACTTTATATTATATTTTGTAATTTTACTATAAAATAATTCTTTTAGACAATTTAAACTAAACAAATAATGTTTCACCGTACTTATTCATGGATACAACTTATTTTAGAAATTGATATCAATAATCAAATATAAATTATTGAAATAATCTTATTTTCACAATAATCTAAACACACATTTATACATTTTCCCCCCCCTGAGAATGAGTTCAATTTGAATCATCAAAATTTAATAGACCTAATGTATAATTTTGTAATTAAAAATTAATAATCCGAAGCTCTTTTTTATATAAAAAGAAAATCCTAAACTCTACTCCTTTTCATCTTATTAAATTATATAATTAACTTATCATCAATCAATCTTCTTCAGACCAAGTTAACATAAACTATGATCTGGACTAGGGAACCCCAAATATTTTGTTTGGCTTCAATTGTATGGAACAGTTCAGACTTCAGAGTAATTGATGCTTAACTCTTCAGATTGGTTTAAATTGAATTTTTTCGTTTTCAATTTTAGTTAAACTTTGATTTTGAACATTCGTGCTCAACTTGCTTCATTGGATGAACTGAACTAATTGTTTGGTTTGGATCAAATTGTTTGCTGCTAAGGACGTGTTTAAATAAATTTTTCTAGGATACTTTTAAAAAAGAAAATAAAAATAAAAATAATTTTTTTCTATAAATTAAAATTAATTTATGTATAAATTAAAAGCAAGACTTTAGAAAGACTTATAGGAGAGAAGTTTTACAAATATATTAACTTATTTATAAGTTAATTTTAGTTTATAAAAAAAATTATTTTATTTTATTTTTCATTTTTTTTTCTTTTATAAGTGCTTATAAGTAAATTTACCGACACGAATAAAAGCTTTACTTAAGGGTGTATGAAGTAAATATAAAAAGAATGCATTTTAATGCAGTTCCTACCTTTCTGGCTTTTTTTCCCCTAACATTTAATTTGCTTATCCGAATATATTATAATATATACAACCTAATATCTTAGGTATATCTTAGTATCTTTGGCAATACGTTGTAGAATCAATTAATTATGCAATGCATGATTTATTTATTTATTTTAATCTATGAAAATTATAATAATGAAAATAGAATTCGAGTCTAAAATTTAATATATATTATCCTAACTTTACCAATGAGCCTACTTCTAGGAGGATTTTTTTTTTAAATTTTATTATGCTTCATGATTTATTTCATTAATTAATCAGGGTTAGGAGTTTTACTTTGCTTGTGCATGTTAATGTTTTAGTGGGTTAGGGCTACGAGTTTCATTTATTAATAAGGCATTTTAATTCTAGAACGTTTAATTTTATTAATTATTGTTTTATATAGTGCGCATAGGTTTTCGGTATTAATTAATTAGGGATAGGATTACGACGAGTTTCATTAATAAATTTGGCTTTTTAATCCTAGGAGTTTTATTTAATTAATTTTTATATCTACAGGGTTCACTTCATGACATTTTTAAAAAATGAACGTATTGCTTACCTCTGAAAATTATAGAATACATAATAAAAATTATAAGCTGGTTTCCTGGGAGATTTGATGGTTTGGGGTTAAATATTCTCAACCTTTAGGTCCTCAGACTCAGTCCAAGCCAGCACAGAATTTTGATGATATACATCGATTTTTTTATTTTTTATTTTTATAAATTGATTTATAAAATTTACTAATATTCAATAATAATTAAAGCTTGTAACCTTTATTAATCAATAACATTTAGTGCAAGAAAACAAATAATCTGACTTCTTTTTTTTTTAAATTCCAAAGGGTACAAATCTTTTGATTTTAGACGCTCCTATTATAAATATCAACCATCATGTTAAATGTATTTCACATCAATAATATATTGTTATAAAAAATAAATACTTTATCCTAATTTTGTGTACTTTCTATTAGGAGTGATAAGTTCAATCCATTTTGATCTGATTTAGGGTTTAAGATTTATCAAAAATAAAGTGAGATAAGTTAACTATATATAGCTTACTAAAAATGGGTTGAAAATCTTAATTAATTTTTCTCAGAACAGTTTGATGAGTTGATAGGTTGACTTTTCAAAGTTTGATTTTTATTTTTTATTTTATTATTAATTCAAATTGATTTTTTTTATTGACAAATTTAATTAAAAGAATAATAATATAAATTAGTCAATCAATTTTAAGATTATAACACAAAAATAATAAATTAAAAATTACTAAAAAGTTTTTTTTAATTAAGATGACTACCCATATCTTTCAAAAACACAACATCATAATAATTTTCAAAAATTATAATATAAATACTAATAATCCTTTAATAATAAATTTATACACCAACACACTATAATTTAAAAATAAAAAAATATTTAATTAAATGAATTGACAGATGAATTTATCTTAACTTTTCATTTGACTCAATAAATTGGCAGATTATTGAAAATGTTAATTTACTATTTGTTAAATATGGTAAAAGAAAATCTTATTAAAGAATGATATCTAAACAAAAATTAATTATTAACAAATACACAAATATTTCATATGGATAATATAAATAAAAAATTTGTTATTCTCGTACATGTCAGTTTACATCAAATAAATACTTTATCTAAATTGTTATGTAAAAGAGATATTTTTTTATAATTATTTTGATTTCTATTTTTTTATACAAACTTTTCTGTCTTTTTATATTTTATTCAAAAATTTAAATCATTTATCTAACCGAAATTTTATTAAATGCATGACAGTTTTTTAATTAGTTTTTATTTTTTTCATACTTCACTATTAGTAACTAAATGCCATTGGGGAGACAATTTTTTTCTTATACGAAATATATAGAAGTAAAATTTTCTTGATTTCATTAATTATTAGTAAAAATTTTAATTAAAAATTGAAATTGTGCAAAGTAGAGATCCGGTTCCTCTAAAATAACCAAGGTCAGAAAATAAAGTTCTCTTTACTAAATATAAAAATTTATTTTATGAAATTTCTGGTTTTCTACATTTTTTTTCCCTAAAAATTTTATTTGATTGTTAGAATATCTCATAATATATTCTAATATCTTAAGCATAACTTCATTTCTTTGGGAATAAAATGTTGTGGAATCAATTAATTCTCAATGTGACACCCTCTACCCCAACATAATTACAATAGATA